AGCTCTATTTTTATTGCTTCGAAGTTAGCTTTCCGGTAGTATCGTACGCGTTACTGCTGTTTAGTCCTTGTACTAGGACTAATATTGATGACAAAGTTTAGCAAGACGTGGTCGCTGATTTCTGGTAAGTATGTAATGTCGGAGACAAGGTCAGGATGCGTTACCAGTATTAGGTCGAGAGTGCTTGCTGCATTACGTGTAAATCTTGTTGCTTGAGTTACTAACTGATTCAAGCAATAAACAGAGCATGTATTCAGAAAATCTGCACTCTGCTGTGAAAAGAGGGAAATACGTATCGGCATTTTGTTCCACGTTATGTTTGGAAAGTTAAAATCTCCGAGTAAAAACATAGGTAAAGAAGGGAAACGAGAGCTTACTATGTTGATGGATTCATGCAGTTCGTTAACAAATGTGGATGGTGAGGAAGGTGATCTGTAGCAGGTACCTAGAACCAGTTTACAGCTACCCAAAATTAGTAAAGCCCAGGTTATTTCTAGTAAACTGTTAACTTGGATTGGTGATGATGGTATGCCCTTCGAGACAGGAAGTAGTACGCCTCCTACTCTATGCTCGGTGCGATCGCAGTGATATACCATAAAGTTGTTTGCTCATGAAATATTTCTGAGTCTGTTGTTTGCGCGGAAAGCCACGTTTCAGTTAAAGCTACTATTGTCGCATCGCATGTATCTATACTGGATGAGAGGGCACAACGTTTATTGAGAATACTTCTGGCGTTAGCAAAGAATGCAGATACCGGATGCGATTGACGATGCAATGATATGCCACTACCCCTCCTTTCCCCCTACAGTGAGGCATTTCACCCAGTGGAGTCTCCGCGACCTGATTGGTTGCCAGCGAGCGTATTTCAACAACGCAATCAAGTTCAAAATTGTAGTAGAAACATTTATCATTCATGAGCAATTCGATATATCGCAGTTTAGACTGCGGGCGCCCAGGTTAGATCTTCGCAAATTCAATTAGTTTTTGGCGAGAAGTGTGGGTATGTTGACAAAAATCTTCCGTCACTGAAATGTTCTTTTGTTTCAGCTGATTACTAAGTGACAAAACTTTTTTTCTGGTCTTGTAGTTAGAAAATTTGGTTATTATGGGGCAGCATTAGGCAGGTGCAAGTGGGCCAAGTCGATGTGCGCGATCAATTGACTCTAGCAGAAAGATTCAAGTACTTCATTTATCGCTGCTGATAGCTTAGCTTTAGTTTCGTTCTAGGTTTCTTTAGCCTCAGCTGTACCATGAAAGATTAGGTTGCCACGCCTAGATCTGTCCTCAATCTCATCAAAGCGTGTTTGATAGTTATTACTTCGGTGCCTTAGACCAAATATCGACGCGTGTATTTCTGATAAATCTTTGCCGAATTGATCAAAGTCCTTAGATTTTTCTTCGAGTTTGTCTAGTCTTTTTTGTATGCCAGTTATTTTTTTTCTATGTTTTTTGCCCGTTTTTAATTGCTTTAACGTCGGCATCTAGTTCGGTTTGCGCTTTCGAACTTTGGAGTGAATGGCTGTGTATATTTTTGAGTAGTTTGAACACTGCTTTCATCTGCTCGGCGGGATTTTCTAGTAATAAATCAATATCAAATAGGTTTCCAGAGCGTGTGTTAGGTCCCGGGTTAGTTTCAACATCTCCAGATCGTAGGAGCAAAAAAGCATGGAAGAACATTCGCATACAACTTCGTACAGCACTTTTGGGCACGGCGACAGTAGCAAAAACGGGTCGTCCGTTTTTTTAGCCTATAGAGAAAACTTTCTACACACCTGCATGATGAAAAACTGGTGGTTAGAAGCCATGCAAAGTGCACTGTTTTCGTGCCCACTGAAAGCAAATCGATGCGCCGTGTGCTTAAGGAGACCACGGGAGGTGTTGGTGACGTCGATGCGGCTGAAAACCTGAAGAAGAGTCCATCAGTCACAGTGAAATTGTAGAAAATTTCATCGCCACCCCTGTTGTCTGATCCGTACGAGGGTGGCAACTTCATCATTATATCCCACAAACACACGTGTGCCGCTGATGACCACGCAATAAGGAACGTCAGCAGATTCTGCATGATAGAAAACCGGTAGTTAGAAGCCGTGCAAAGTGCACTGTTTTCGTGCCCACTGAAAGCGAATCGATGCGCCGTGTGCTTAAGTAGATCACGGGAGGTGTTGGTGACGTCGATGCGGCTGGAAACCCGAAGAAGAGTCCATCAGTCACAGTGAAATTGTAGAAAATTTCATCGCCACCCCTGTTGTCCGATCCGTACGAGGGTGGCAACTTCATCACTATATCCCACAAACACACGTGTGCCGCTGATGACCACGCAATAAGGAGCGTCAGCAAATTCTGCATGATGAAAAACCGGTAGTTAGAAACCATGCAAAGTTCACTGTTTCCGTGCCCACTGAAAGGCAAATCGATGCGCCGTGTGCTTGAGTAGACCACGGGAGGTGTTGGCGATGTCGATGCGGCTGGAAACCCGAAGAAGAGTCCATCAGTCGCAGTGAAATTGTAGAAAAGTTCATCGCCACCCCTGTTGTCCGATCCGTACGAGGGTGGCAACTTCATCTCTATATCCCACAAACACACGTGTGCCGCCGACAAGCACGCAGTCAGGAGTGCCAGCAGATTCTGCATGATGAAAAACCGGTGGTTAGAAGCCATGCAAAGTGCACTGTTTCCGTGCCCACTCCCATTAAGCAGCGCTTGTGTCACAGCCATGATCAGACTTAAACCGCTCGCAATTCCCTGCAGTCATATGTTGCAGGTTCCATCAGCGCGATCGAAAAAATGATATCGACACGCGTACGCTTTTCGCAATTTCCAAATTGCGAAAAGCTGTCGAACAGCAACGTCGTTCAGATAGCACCGGCGAAAATCAGGAGAAGTTAGCGTGGACTGTAGTCGTAACTGTATATTTCATTGCCCTAAAGATTTGTCTTTGCTGGTAGAGCTCGAGTGTGTTCACGGCATGCAGCGCTTTGTAATATTCGCTGTAATTCAGGTAGATTCAAAGCACCGTAAAAAGTATGCTTTTATTTTGACATTGCTCAAGAATATTACACTATCAATACAATAGAAAGACTTAAGAGCGTGAAAAAAACATTAACGCTTGACGGGACGTGAAGTGCAACTCCTTGCTTGTGAGCTAGCAGCTAATTGTTCATCGTCGGTGTCACTCTCAGTGCGTTGACAACCGTCTACGTCCAGTGCGAAATCTTCGATGACAAAACGGTTTCTTTGAACATCACTGCTGAAAATATTCTGGCGGATCGTCTGCGGCAAATGACAGATAGCAGCAGCACAATGCGACATTTACCACGCACAACACCCTCACTGCGTCGCATACCACGTTTATGTGAGGGTGCGGAGATCATTTCGCATTGATACCAGACAAGAAATCAATCACTTGCAGTGTGCTGCCATATATCAATGAACGTAGAAAACAAGCAGTGCAAGGTAGGTCAAGGTTCAGAAATGGAAATCGTGAGCCTGCGCTATACTTTCGGTGTACAATGAATGCTTTGGAATTTATGAACTACAAGAGCCTTGAAGAATGCTATACGCACGTGAAATAAGGCTAGTTTCAACTGGAATGATCAGACAGCAACATTTAACTATCCAAGGTGGCTGCAGAAAATCTCGCGAAGCTGAATTGTGTACTCTACAGGCTATAATTGAAAGCGCGAGTTGCCACGTAATTTTATGAAAAGTTCGCCTCTTGCAAGAAAGAATGATGTAGATTGTGTCAAGGACAGTCCGGTATGTTCACTGATGCACGAAACATACAAAGTGTTTTACGTTCGTTTCTTGCTAGCGCGTTAACACTGCGGCTAGCCCCACCGAGCAAGGGAGCATTGGCAGCGTCTGCATACTCGTCATGCTTGAGAGAACGCTCCTGAATCACGGTAGGTGGCACGACAGTCTATGAACATTGTGAATTTCGTGCATATAATATTCCATTCGCTTTGCCAAAGAAGATTCCCGATGCTCGCACACAACATCCTGGCGAGGCATTCGCATCATACATCGAAGAGGTTTTTGCGCTCTTGCGGCGTTTGAATTCATTGATGTCCAAGCCAGAAAAACAACAACACATTCTAAAGGGCTTCGGCACTGTTGCCTCCAGTGCCCTCACTGTTCAAAATTCCTCTAATAGTGCAAACTTCATCACCATGCGTCAGCACCTCGGTTAGCCTGTTTGTCTACAACTAGGCTCTGGCTAACTCCGTCTTGCGGTGGACCGGAACCTACGTGTCTTGATTAGGGAGACTGTACGGGAAGAAGTGTATTCAATAAGCTTTTCGGCACTTCCCTATTTCTCGTACTTTCTTCAGGCATGGCCTGGTGAGATATATTCAGAGAAGAACTAACATTCATAGAAACATTTTGGCGCACACACAATAGATGAGAAAACGGTCTCCTTTCTTGCTAGTTTTTTTTTTTGCGCACATGCATCCTGGAGCTACTTCGGGACATATATTTTGTGTACTTCTTTCAATGAACTGAGTTGTGAGATCGCGTTTAGTTGTCTCCTTGGCTTTCGATTTCTGTCTACTGTGGCGCACACCAAAATGTTTCTAAAAATGTCCTGAAACCAACTCGCCCATCGTTACATACTATCACAAGAACTAACATCCTTGACCAGCCTAACGCACGTACAACCTCAAGACAGGAAGGCCACTGTACTTATGGGCTCTCTGTATTTCTCAGACAAGATAGCCGTTTCATTAGCCTGTATGTCTCACGAAATAAACAGTTGTAAGACCTAAGACAGTGGTTGACCCTGTCTATGAGCTTCTTCGTAGTTCTGTGTGGGCGTGTTTCAGTACCTAATTGACGATTAATCTCAGATATTGCATGAACTATCCGAACAAATAGCACTATACTCAAAGCAAGCTCACAATGGTAAATGGAGAAGTGTACGCAAACTGTTCGAACCGTTTTCATTCTCTGCAACGTAATTGCAACCATGCATCCGATGAAGCTCTTTTTTTCTTTCTTACCTTTCTCATAGTGGGCTCTGATTACCATCGCTGGAAAAGGAACCTCATCTAAGTATCCTATCTTCGCATGTTTGTGTGTCTTCCCTCTGAAAAGATATACACAGATTTTGCTTATGGTTCAGCACAACATCTTTACACAAGCAAAACAGTTGCAGTGTGCTAAAAAACTAAATTGCTGTTTAGGTCACAAAGTATTAGTCGCGGATGCACTTTAAGGCCCCAGACGAATTCCTGATAATTTGTGGGCCAGAGGTCTTCAGCCCAGCTACAAGAATGAAGCCTGACAAGGAGGAGAGAATGGGTAAGCATAAGTTGGCGAGAGAGAAGCCTAGTATAGCGAGATTAGCCTAGTTCAGAAGGAGTATCGACGTAGAGAGGATGGAGTGCCGTACAGAGAAGGAGAGCAAAGTTGAAGCTATTGCGTGAGCGGGGGAAGTGGTGTCGAGAAGAGCGCCACCTGATAATCTTTCCGCATACACTGACGGTCTCGTATTCGTTCTGGAACGTACGCTAGACACCAAGGTAAACCTTGATCATGCCAATAGTTCTGCGTTGGAATCAGGCTCGGCAATTTTAGGTCTGTTCAAGCTGTGCATAGTATTATTAACTTCAGCATAACTATCTCGTTGACATGAGTAGTTAGTGAAGAAATGCTTACAGAATATACACAAAACTAAGGTTCCAACACTATGTCATCATAATAATAGAACTAAGAACAAAGAGAAACGAAACGAACATGAGTCACTGAGGGCTCGCATATATTGTGAAGTGAAGACCTTGTGTTTTTGTTACACTTAAACGACCGTAGTCTATATAACACAGTTCACTAATGGAATTCGCTAGGAACAAAGTGGGTTATGTGAAAATGTGCGCGTCAAGTGTTGACGCCAACGCAACTGCCCTACCGTCTTTGACTATGCGATTGGGCAGATCATTGCACAACCGTGTTTCCAGTGAAATCAAGAACCATGTAATTACATTGAAGATAGCTTGGATGCGCGGGAAACTTCAGTGATTGTATCATCCATGAAGTACTAGAAAGGATAATTCTCGGCACAATATTTTCCTAGACCAACACGAATGATCAGTGAACATACTTGTGCTGCATGGCTAGAAATGACATTGCAAAAAGAGAAATTATCGAAGTGCTCCTTGCTTTGGTACCCATAACTTATAGAGCCGAAATATCACGTGTAGGCAAAATACCATGCAGATAAATAATTTTAGTTATTGTCTGTTGTATCAGTATGAACACCTGTTTCTTTAAGAGCAGTCACGCACAACAAGTAGGGGAACATCGTTTTTGCGTAATGTTAAAGGAACCCACAACCGATATCTATGGTACCCGTTTTCGTGAGTTCAACGGAAAGCTCAACTGTCAGAGCTTGTAATCACGGAATGGTAACGTGAAAAACACCGTAGAACATTTATATTCAGGTTTTTTTCTATTTGTGGCGACTATGCAGCCTTACAGAAAAAGATGCTGCAAGCAGTGGATTTGATCGCGACTACGGTTATACGACAGTGTAACGCCAGCAGTGAGGAAAAGTGAAGCTGTAAGTACAAACACGTCATGTTGTGTTTGTCAAGCCTGCGGTCCAGCGACGACTGCTTTCTAGCGTGCTATTAACATTACAAGAGTTACAGCACTTTCCCGGGGCTTCTTATGCAAGTACTTATGGCCGTGCTTGGGTAGTGTTTTCTCTACTTTAGTCAAGTCGAGCGAAGACAAGTCTTCAAAAACAAAACGGCAAGTTTACGTGCGATCGACAATTCCCCCATAGTAGTTCACGATCGGCCGTAGTTGGTCGGCTTCGATGTCTTCACTTGACAACTCGAGCGAGTTAGAGGAAAGAATTTTGGCTCGCATGCGAGCGCAAAATTAGGCCCCCTATCAAGCAGCGCCAGAGCGACATGTTTCGACAGACGATAGCGGTAGCGACGAATCCGACGGACCGCCACCATCGCCACCACCAGCCGCACGCATGAAGCGATTCTCCACAGAGCACTAGGCTGACGGCGTTTCGCGCACCGCAGCGATTGCATTCGAAAGCTCGCGTGCTTCTTGAACACGCCCGAGCAACGGGAATCGAGCTACTGTGGAAACGCCGCGCGTTCGCACAACTGCACCCGTTTTCCTGCAGTGGCCACGAAAGCACCACCACTTTTCTGGCGGTACTTCTTTTACCCTGTAAGCCACACAGAATCAAACGAAAATGAACAATAACATACATATTCCAAATGTAAGCCCTTATTTCGGGGTGCTTCAAACAATCACAGCAAAGTTAGTAGGACTTCATAATTGTGTTTCGTGGCTCTGGCGCTAGAATCGCGACATGCCGGTTTTGGTTACTTTTGGACGCGATTTAAATATATAAATCCTACTCAGATGGCGAAAAGTATGCCGTCACCTGTCACCATAATTCATGCTCTTTTATTTTCCACCGGAATCAAATCACCCGTTTAGGCCAGTTGTGGGTCTCTTCAACCTAGCACTTACAAATAATGATATGGCTTGCAATTTGCAATTGTTCCTGAAGGAATCACCGAAAGAGAGTCTGCAATGAGCTCGGTAGAATAGCTTTGGATAGACAGCTTTTCCAGAGCCATATCAAAATAAGAACCATATATGACTTTTGACCCATATCAACCATATTATAGAGAAGCTTTCTTAATACAACCTCCCACCCTCTTCAATCAGCAGGTGCTTACGGCGCACAATTCTCTTGACAACTTTGTAACTGCTATACTGCAGCTATGGTGAGTTGGTTAAACTGATCCTACAAAAGAGGCTCAAAGCTTGGCTTCCGATCATGCATACCGAAGTTATTTCTGATAATTTGTGAAAGCTGATTTAATCCTCTTTATAGAGGATAAGGCCATTACTAGCAGTGTCAATAAACTGCTATACAGGGGAAGCATATTATTTTGTTTTTAACAGAATAGCGTCAACATATTTATGCGTAAAGCTGGTACCCATCATGGTCAGCGCTAATAGGACACGAAATAAAAGGTAAACGAAATGGGTATCGATGGCGTATAAACTTCCATCGCGCAGGTGCTTAGACCTCAATATATTGAAGGTAGGCAGAAGGGTTGCCACTGTATTTCGAGCGAATGTCACCAAATTACGCGCAAAGTGTCGCCGCCAAAAGTCACCAGTTCTCTTCAAATTTCGCCGAAATTGTTGCCACTGTAGATGTGTGTGGCATGCTTCCAAATAAGAAATGAAAATATGTCTAGTAGTATTTAAAAGAGTGCCATCCGTAACCCCTAAGTTACCCTAATGTTTTTTTTTAAGTCAGAGGCGTCGATAGCTTCACATTGGAAAAGTTAAGGATGTCTAGTTCTCCGACCTATCTTGAGTGCGCACGTTGAAACAAAGAATACAACGCCCATGATGTCTTTCGATTGCAATCCGCTCGTTTTTCAGATCAAAGTGTTGTAAAATGCACGACAGCGTCATTTTTAGAAAGCATTACGCCCCCTACGTAAATTGAAAGATTTATTGAAGGTTACGACTAGTACTCTTAAAAAAAAACAATCATAACTGATTCTGACTCCTTTTTGGTACGAAGTAACACGATAACGGGTGCCACTGCCCATTACGAATAGTTACCTAAATGAACCGCTGCATAAAGTAAAATGATATACGAAAATCGTTTTCATTGCCCGCGTAAGCCAATAACAGCACAAAATACTTCAGCCAACGATTTTTCATTGTGCACTCGCCACAAGTTGCCCACTCGCCACGCGTTAAAGAGAACATCTCTCAGCCCTAATTATTCCTACGTACATGACCACGATGCACTTACACGACTTCAAGGAAGGCACAGTATTGGCAAATGCTGGAAACCTCAGAGTGATTTGCCTTCAATCCGTGAAGAACATGCCTCCCCAAAAAACGGCGTAGTTTTTGCTCGCTTCTTGCGTCGCCTTTTATGACAAAGTTCCTCATAAGTCAATGTTACATTAGAAAGGACTCTTTCAGCTCTGTTAGTTCAGATCGGAAGTGTCAGGATTTCCTTTGGTGGCTTCAGTGGCCAGCGCTGAGAAAGAGCATACACCAGCAGCGTCGCAGACGGCTAGAGGATTATACCAAAAACTTGAATTGGTTCCACTTGAAGCGAACAGCGCGAAAAGTCACTTCAATTAAAAAAACACAGTGCGCAGCCTTCCCTCAGACTAAAAAAAAAAAAGAGTTTGGCATAAGTCGTAATTTTCTTTTTTTTGCGTTTAAGCTTCTCGCTTCAAAGTGCACTCTCATATGCCGCACAATATGTCGTCTTTGGAATCTTGAAACGTACAAAAATAATTGAAAGTGTCTCTGTGCACCCGAACGCAAAAAAGAAATCTATGTACTCGCGAATGCAGTCGTAGTCGCGAAAAGTGTACGAGGAAAAGGGACAGAGCGAAGCATGCCTATTGACACATCGAAAGTTGTGCCCGGTGACCGCTTTACAATCATTTGCGCAGCCGAATGCTACGGAAGATCTCACCATCGTCGTCTCGAAGAGTGATCACAGACGTGTCCAGAACAGACTCGTTCAATTTGGAGGCGCCACAAGCAACGTTACCAGCAGAAAAAAATAATGCGAAAGCCACGTACGCTACAATGCGCCTATCCGCTTTTTGCCCAGAGCAATATGGCGGCGTCAGCTTCAGCCACGGAGCCCCTCCGCCAGTCCAGAAGTCTTAGTATACCCTCCTTGGTTGACACTCACGAATAATTCTTCATTAGTCGGAAACGGCATACACATTCTATGCATTCAGACAATTGTAAGTGTTGTCCTATCCAATTCTACTGTACACGTTTTTGGTTGTTGTGAGATCAAAACAAGGATGACGTGCACCGCAGTTGTCCACCGCCGCAACCTATGTTCATAACGACTATCGCATGAGATGAGAAAAAAAATAATTCAATAAAAAATACCAAGGACACATTGGTGTTCGCACACGGGTCTCCTGCGGGCCAGGGCCAGCCCAGTATTCAACCACTGATCCGCGCCTGTGCTTGAAGCGCATATCTAAACTGGCCTTAGGCAGGCCTAGTGTTGGGAAAGGAGTCGCGTTAACATGAGTAACA